ACAGACAACCCCGTGACAATATGCGTTTTGTACTGCTGTTACACAGCACAAAACGCATAAAAATCGTACTCACAATGTAAATGCATATAGTGCAAATTTGGGTACAGAAAAGACTGACTTATTGCCCGATCTTTTGAAAATACAGCTTCGAATAGCTGTTGCTTGAGCGTCGCGTTTCTTCTCGCTATTGATGCAGCTGGCAACTTCTGTCGCGTAAAACTTGCGAAAAGCCTGTCAAGAAGCCGGCAAAAAAAAGAGAAGAGATGGAAGGTGTATCTTGTCTTGAAAGGCAGACACACAATAGATGTGCTGTCAGGCTGAGCCTGGAGCACAGGAACCGGTGGTGTAATGGTAACACGTTGCGTCCTGGCGTGAAAAGGAATGGTTCGATTCCCTCCGGTTCGAAGTAACCTGTTCATGACATGGCGCCACGAGTTGGAAAGCGGCTAAGAAGCCGGCATATTCGTGGCGTAGTCCTTCGCGGGTTAATGGATCGCGTCATCTCTTTGACGGGAGTATAGCTGAAAACCCGCAAAAAGCCGGTCAAGAAGCCGCCACAAAAAAAAAAGGGAAAAGAAAGGTGTGTCTTGCCTATAATGGCAAATACATGGTAGATGTGCTGGCATACTGAACATGGAGCACAAATACGGTGGTAATACGTTGCTTCTTGACGTGAAGAAGAGCGATTCGATTCCCTCCTGGTCCAGAACAGTTTTCGAGAAAGAGCTCCGTTTATGATAACTTCTCCATTCTTTCTTTTGAGCCTCTTTCGTTCATATAATTCCGTATAGCTGTTCAAGCAGACCTTCCATTCAATTAGTGGCCTTCCCTGGGTTCTTCTGACATTGCTTGGGTAATTAAAGGCCACTTATGAGAATGGTATACATTGTGACAAACATACGAAGATGGGAAGCGCGTCGAACAGGGTTTTCGAATTGCAGCTAAATTTATTTTTTTTAAAAAAATTGCTTCACTGAGGGGATATTCGTGGTGACAGTTCTCGTTTTAGGTTTCTTGGGAACTGCATTTATTCCGGTCAAAAATGATATCAGTGGTAATGTTCGCAAAGTAAAAACGAAATACGAAAGCGCCAGGGAGAAGTGCAAATATGTTGAGGATCTGGTTGACTACGATCTCGCACACAACGGCGGAAAAATGGCTAATGCTACCGAGGGATTGTTGTGGTTGAAAAGGTCCCGTTAACAGTCATATTTGTCCAGACATCCAACTCTTTAAGTATGTCCAGTTGTTTGTTCTCTTCACTTCTTCTGTGACCCACTAGCTCAGGAGGAGGACATTGTTTTCAAAAAAAGAAAAAGCAAACGCTGGGAATGCTTGTGAATTGTGCGGTTTTGATTGTGCAGGAGAACTCGATCCCCAGTCAGTTCTTAAGATTCCCAGCTTCATGCAGCTTCATGTTATTCTTGACTAAACTGTGCCATTTGATCAGCTGTGTTTTCAGGGGACTTGAATTTATGCTGGAGCTGTTGTCGGAGATGGTACGTGTTTATCGGTCTTCAATGGATAAGAGTAAAACTGATAGTTTGACTGGAATTATCAATGACGCTTACAACAGTACTTTGAAAAGGCATCATGGATTTGTTTCCAAACAGTTATTTAAAGTAATTTTTTATTGTCCGGTTTTTTAAAGCATTCTTATTCACTAAACTTATCACAAAGTTATATTATGCACCCGCAGTTATGATTTCACTGCTTGGTCACTGTTCAGTATTCTGACGCGAAAATGCCCATATTTGTATTGCCGGTTTTACTTATGACTGGTATTTACTGCGACTTCGGTGCATTATTTGCTGGTCGACCAACTGCTGTCTCTAGTAATTGCTGTGCGACGAAGCTTGCTAGCGATCCTTAAGGTCCCTGACTTTGTGGCTAAGGTAGGCTGGGTTGTACACGGCTGATTCATGGTAGACTTGATGGACGACCGCTGTATTGATTGGTGGCGGGGGTAAATTGTGCAGTAGGCATGGCGTCGAGAGAATCTGAGGTGCGATTAGATAAACAAGAACAATAACAAAGATGATGATTTTAAGTAGGGGAAACGGCTTTTATACTGTACGTGGTCGGATATGCGAGTAACGCTAGCCGATCTTACTTAAATGGCATGATTTCATCAAGAGTCATGCACAACTGGTCACGAAAGCGCTTGGTCCGCTTTCGTGACTTGCTGTTTCCTGGCGGAATTACAGAAAGATACGAAAGGAAAGAATATTGGACAGAGTGGATTACTGAACAACACCCATATTTTTTTTAAAAGAACACAGGAATGGACACAGGGAATAATTTAGCGGAATTATGTGGAGGAAAAGAGACCGAAGCAGAAGAGTGGAAAAATTGCAAAAAAAAACCAGAGTTATCTGTTTTTTATGTACAGTGATATCATTTCAGGTAGTTATTTTAGCAGCACCAACGCGTAGTACTATTTTGAAAGCATTGGCTGAAGGCCGAGAAGATGCTGATGATATTTGTATTAATCATATTGCTCTTCATTTGGACAACTTTAGGACTAATGTAGCTCATATTGTCAATTATTATGTGAAGAAAAATCTGGACACTCCCAATCCTTATGCAAAGTCTCCTGCCCCCGCCCCTTCGCTTCCCCAGAATTCCCTCTCTCCAACTTACTAACTAGTGAAGCAGCGCGTATAACGCGATTCTCTTTCTCATTAGTCCTGGTGACCAGATCCTGAGATTTTTCCGGTTAAAGCCGATCCTTCTACGACTCATTTCGATTATAGGTTGACGCTGGTACAAATGATATTTTAAACACAAATAGTCATAAAAAGTAGAAGCCATCGACAGCCTTGCCAGTTTTGGTAATAAGCCAATCTTCCTACGATTTATTTTGATTTTAGGTTCCTTCTGTGAGGCTTTAGCCGGAATCATAAAGGGCATTGCAATTTAAAAATGGTGCAAAAACAGGTTCATCGGCTTTTTTTATGTCCATTTCTTTTCTCTGGAACTTCTTCGCAGCTGTTAATTCGTTCGTTGTTTGGATTTCCATCTGTGCAGCTGGCAACTTTTCCATCGACTACGACCTTGTGCTTTCCGGCATCCACGTCTCTGCGAGCATTCAAGTTAGTGGGTCATCCCATCGTACCGGGAAATCCTACTACTCTTCTTTTAACACACTGATGAACACAGTTCAGCTCTTCTTTCCGTCCTTCTGTTGTCTGCATAGGCTTCTTTGTTATGCCTTCGACACCAACATGTTACTGCAGCTGGTCGTTATTTTTTGCAGCCTCCTGACACTTAACATTCGTCTCTTCACTGATCTTGATCTTCATTGCCATTTTACTACAATATAAAACAATTCACAAATGTTTTTAACTACTCCAAGTTTAGTATGAAGTACCTGACAAATTGTTTCTAAGTTTTGTATTGCTCAGTACTGCCGGCAGAACTTTTTTCCAACTGGAAATTTGCAGATATTTCTTGCTTTATTCCGCTGGATTGGTTTGAGTCATAATTACGCATAAGTAGGTGTCAACTCACAACAATTTGTATTTATTTTTATGTGAGATTTTTAGTGCTTTTGTTTTTTGTCCACTGTTGCGGTGCAATTTTCTCGGTGTAAATTTTTGATTTGGTATTCTTAGTAAAGAGTGAGCACAGTAAGCGCGCTACCACAGCAATAAGATTATTTGTTACCCAAAGTCCCAGTTTTATAATGCGTTTTTTGCATCTGTGCAATGCAAAAACGCATATTGTCGAGGGGTCGTGTGTGTGTGTGTGTGTGTGTGTGTGTGTGTGCGTGTGTGTGTGTGCGTGTGTCTGTTTGTGTGTATACTAATTACCTCGAGACCTAGAAAGCTGCAGGGCTTGGGAAGTTAATATACTCCCCCACACCCAAAATGGACGCTCTTACCCGCGTGGTTGGGTTCGTCAAAGTTTTTGGCTGATAAGTTGCTAACTAGGACACTAGAAAAGCTAGAAAGTTGAAACTTTAAGGGAATGTTCATAGACCTTAAGAGTTCAAACCCAGCCCCAGGTATGAATGGTTCTCACACATGTCCGTGAAAATTTTTGCGGCTAAGTTACTAACCCGAGCCAGAAAAGCTAGGAAGCTGAAAATTTGAGGGGACGTTTCCAGTCTTGGTGACCAGTCTCAATTCCCTTAGCTAGATTTGCCGTAAAAACAGCGCCATTAGCGACAAAAGCTTGCGGAGAACTGTGCAAAAAAAGCATCTTCGCATCAACATTCGGTGCGCTGGCCACTTATTACTGAGTGCATCAGACATGGCTTTCTGTGCCCAGTGCTGTGAACGGGTTAGGGATTTGATTTAACTAAATGTGTACTCTTTTCTACGCTGTTTTGTGGCATTGATGCTATTTCAGCGTGAAAATGTGTTTAATGTGGCGACAAGTAACACAAAAATTGCCTACGTAGAATTCAGCTT